TATACATAAAAATTTGAAGAAAGTGAGCCATCTTGGAAGGACTAAAGATTAACATTACAATTTGTGCTGGGATTGGTGGTTCATGCCTCTAATCCCAGCCTTTAGGATACTAAGGTAAAAAGACTGCCCTGAGTTCAAGACCAGCCTGTCTCAAACAAACAACCCACCCAAAACCAGCCAAGCAAAAAATTGAATACAACTTGATACTGTAATGTGATGTAAAATACCATAATACACTTTGACTAGCCCTGAGGTTTCCTCCAGATTTAATCTTTTCCTTCTTGTCCAGGAATTTCTGTCATAAGAATATTCTCCAGCTTTGCATATAAATCTCCCTCTAATTAACTCCCATCTTTCATTCTTCCCATCACATTTTCAAAAAGTGTTATTATACAACACCTTTAATGATCCATTTAAAATGTGGAAATATATGGTATAATGTTATAGATAAAAATTTCATTAATTTCTTAAGTTCAAGAGTCTATAAAACAGCCTTACTCATAAGAAAAGGAAAATTCTCTGAGTCTCATTTGCCTTATGGAAATAATAATACCCACCCTATCTCCTAGTGTTCATATAAGACAAAATCATTAAATTTATGAAGAACTATTACTTCCAGAAGGCTCAGCTATTCAGAGGATCCGAGTTCTGTTCCCAGCACCCATGTTAGATGACTTACAACCCACCTATAACTCCAGCTCCAGGGGATCAGATGCCTCTGGACTCTATGGACACTGCACTCATGTGTACATACCTACACACAGGCAGATATACATACACATGACTAAAAATTTTAAAAAAATTATTAAATATATGCACCATATTTCAAACCTTAGACACAATCTTTGTATGACACACTGTTAGTTCATATACCACCAGAAAGAAAGAAACAGTAGCCAATGTAAAGCTGTAATATCTCCTTTCTCATCACTTGGAAATTTTAATATTTAGTAAATTAGCTTTTTTACATTTACACAGGAATTATTAAAACTGGTACTTGTGCAAACATTAAAAGGAAAATAGGAAGTAAAGTGGTGAATGTCTGTTTTGTGTTTTTATTTGTTTTGAGACAGGGTCTCTATTGAAGCCTAGGCTGACCTGGAGCTCACAATGTAGCCTAGCCTGTCCCCAAATGGGATCTTCCCTGTTTTAGCCTCCAAATGCTAGGATTACAGGCATGCACCGCTTCACCCACGTGCTTAAGGTATTTTGTATTGCTTTTTTCAGAGACAGAGTTTCAATATAGCCCAGCTGGCTCTGAACTCACTATGGATTGGAGGCTGTTGATTGTCTAATCTTTCTGCCTCTACCTTTCTGAGTGCTGGGATTACAGGTTTCTGCAACCATACCTAGCTGGTTGAGGTATTCTTTTTTTTGGGGGGCGGATCTTTTTGAGACAGGGTCTCTCCCTGTAGCCCCAGCTGTCCTGGATTCAGTATGGAGACCAGGCTGGCCTCGAACTTACAGAGCTCCTCCTGCCTCTGCCTCCCAAGTGCTGGGATTAAAGGCGTGCGCCACCACGCCTGGCTGAGGTATTCTTTTTTTAAAAATTTATTTATTTTTATTTTATATGTATGTTTTGTCTGCATGTATGTAAGAGCACCACATGTGTACCATGCCCTCAGAGGCCAAAAGATGGTGTCAGATCCTTTGGAATTGAATGACTGCTAGTCACCATGTGAGTGTTGGGAACTGAGCCCTCTGCAAGAGCAGCCAGTGCTCTTAATCACTGAGCCATCACTCTAGCCCTGGTTAAGGTATTATTGAAACAAATTATTGGGAGGTAGGTACTAGGGACTAAATCCATGGTCATGTAGATACTAAGAACATGCTATATAATTGGTCTGCCCCCACCTCCCAGTCCCTGGTTAAGCTTTTCATTGAGTCTAACATTCCTGAATAACATCTCAGCTCAGGCACTACCATGCATGTTTTCCCACTAAATATCATTATCCAGCAATCAAGAATACTGGTGATGCAACATATAAGAATCCCTAAAATAAGGCCATTAAGCTGGCCACTTGCTGCCAAGCCTGAGGTCCTGAAGATTCCAGGGACCCACAGGAAGAGAGAACCAATACTCAGGAGTTGTCCTTTGTGTTCCATACATGTGCTGTGGCATTTGCCTGTCTACATGTACATACATGCACACACAGAAATAAATAAATGTAATTTTTTTCCCTTTTTTTTTGGTCTTTTTTTAAGATGGGTCTCCCTGTAGCCCCAGCTGGCCTGGAACTTGCTATGTAGACCAGGCTGGCCTTGAACTCACAGAGACCCGCCTGCCTCTACCTCCTGACTGCTGGGACTAAAGGCGTGTACCACCATGCCCACTGTAAATGTAATATTTTTAAAAGACTCCATAGAATAAATACCACCCAAAGGACATACCAATAATTCCATTAAAACAGGTGAGGCTGCCACCTGATGACCTTGGGCTCCCCATTGCCAAATAAATTAACTGTACCAAATAACTGTATTGACCGTAGTAATTAATCTTGATTATTAAGATAAAATTGGGGTTTTATGTCACAAGAGGTGTCTAGAATGCAAGAACTGTTTTAGACTATCTCTTAGAAATCCTGTATTTTGTAACTTTATGTTTCATCTGGTAAGTTGTAAAATGTAATTTGTTGCTAAGGAGGAACTGTGAAAATAAATGGGGCTACACTTTTAAGATTAATGGTTAGGTACATGAATG